TCCATTTTAGCTATATTAATTTATTTTACACTAAACTAAAATATTTGGTATGTATAAAGCACACTTATCATACTGTTTATACCAGGTGTATATCTCTGTCAACAGCATGCTGTGTGTGCTGACAACAGATGCCAAATTTGCATAATTCATAAAACTCATTTCAGGCTGGCTAACGATGCCTCAATGACGCTTCCAGATATGGAATTACACCTTCTGCAGCAGATGGATTAACTCTCTATGCGCAGTGTTTCAAAGTGGAACACTGCACATAAAAACCCCAGGCACCTTCACCACTTTATATTACTGAAGTTGTTATGGTCATTGGAGTAATCCTTTAATGCATGTGTGTAAATGTATGTATTTTATTTATATAAAGTGGCGTAAAGTTTGTGTACACATATTTTATACATATTTACCTAACCTGTACTTAACACATATTTTAGGTTACATTACAGTAGTTACAGAGTGAATGTAGTAATGTTTCAATTACATAGTAGTTAATTACAGAGTAATTAACACTTATTTAATAATTTTTGTTTCAAATCTTATTTTGCAAAAATAAACTGAAAACCATTATAACAGAATAGATTAACCCCTTAAGGACCAAACTTCTGGAATAAAAGGGAATCATGACATGTCACACATGTCATGTGTCCTTAAGGGGTTAAAAGGCACTTTAAATTTGTGCAAAGGCAAAATGGGATTGAAGTTACTAACGTCATAAAAAGGGTGAAATACATAAACAAAACATATGGAAATAAAAAGACAGACGCAGAGTATAATGTTAGTAGAGAACAGCAACACTTTACAGAAAGGTAATCAGGAGTTCAGTCCTACAGATGATGACTGGGTGGTGTTGTAAGGAGGGAAGGAAAGGGAGGGAGAGGACTAGAGGAAGAGAGGAGATGAGGGAGAAAAACTGAATATAAAATAGGATATAACAAATAGCAGGTGTCTTTTTTTTAGTAAGAAATTGGGTCATTTATTGACCTGGTCTATTTGATCAACTTGATCCTTTTATTAAAGGGAAACTGTAGTCACCAAAACAACTTCATCTTAATGAAGCAGTTTCAGATTATATTTCTGAAGTCTTACTGCTCAAGTATCTGCCATTTAGGAGTCAAGTGATTTTTGTTTCTGTCCATGCAGCACTAGCCACTCCTCCCCTGGTTTTGACAGACACAGCCTGCATGATAAAAGGTATAATTTTCAATCCGATGTTAATTTACTTTAGAGGTTTTTATCCCCTGCTTTGCAAATGCACTGCACTTGGTACCAGCAAAATAACATGCCTTTTGAAATACCCTGGGGTGTCTTCATTAAAGGGACACTATAGGCACCCAGACCACTTCATCTCATTAAAGTGGTCTGGGAGAAGTGCCCCTGTCTCTTTAACTCTGCAATTGTAATTCTTGCTGTAATTCTCTACTGTTACAGGTAAGATTCATCTGTAGGAAAAGGTTACTGATTGCACAAGGTTTGAATTCCTGTTGGTAATTATAAGGCATTTGATTTGATTAAGCTAGTTATTTGCTATTGATTGCTGGTTAATTAGCTATTGTTTGCAAATAAGCAGAGGCCTACCCAGGTGTTAAACATTCCTAGTGGGTGGTGATTTTAGGAGTTATATAAGGCTTGTTGTCATTAGCTTGGTTAATATAGCTTGGTTGCTTCACCTAAGTGTTGCTTCTAAGTGTGTAGTTGGAGATATTCTGGAGAGTTTTACAGAAGCTTCAACTGTCTAAGAGTTGTGCTAAGAGCTTTCTTTTCTACTGTTACAGGTAAGATTCATCTGTAGGAAAAGGTTACTGATTGCACAATGTTTGAATTCCTGTTGGTAATTATAAGGCATTTGATTTGATTAAGCTAGTTACTTGCTATTGATTGCTGGTTAAGTAGCTATTGTTTGCAAATAAGCAGAGGCCTACCCAGGTGTTAAACATTCCTAGTGGGTGGTGATTTTAGGAGTTATATAAGGCTTGTTGTCACTAGCTTGGTTGATTCATCTAAGTGTTGTTTTTAAGTGTGTAGTTGGAGATATTCTGGAGATAAACTGGAGGTAATCTGAGGTATTCAGGAGGATAAAGATAAAAGTTAAGATTAGTTTGAGTTAAATTATTTTCCTCATTGGAATGGCAGACTTAGTTCAGTGTAATAGTTGCTATGCATTTGTTTCTCTACTTTTTGGAGATTTGGTTGTTGTCTAATCTGTAGACAGTTCTCTATCTTGCGGCAGGAGATTTTATTTTTGAAGTCTGAGATTTGTAAATTATCTGGTGAACAAACTCAGACTGGAACTGCTGCAAAGCCACTGCCACAGAGACATACTAAGAATGGCAGATGGATTACTGTAGGATCTGGTAGACTTAGAGTTGTGGATAAAAGGCATTTTGCACAGTCTGTTGCTCTACATAATTCATTTTCTGCACTTTCAGAGTGTAATGGTGTTATGGAGAGAGGCACTGAGGCTAGTGGTGTTGTGGAGAGAGGCACTGAGGCTAGTGGTTTTGTGGAGAGAGGCACTGAGGCTAGTGGTGTTGTGGAGACCGGCTTGGAGACTATGGTGAGGCCTAATAGAAAGCAGTTGTTGTTGTTGGGGGATTCGATCATAACAGGTGTGGAGATGGACAATGGTGGTCTTGTGAGGTGTCTTCCTGGAGCTACTGCTCACAGAGACAGGAGACGTATCTGTAATATTGTTAAGCAAGCAAAGCAGGAAGGGGAATTGGATGTACTTGTCCATCTAGGGACAAATGACTTGGCTTGCAATGAGGTTTCAGAGGTTAAGGAAGTTTTAGTGTTTTTGCCAATGATATACGGCAGGTTGTTTCCACACTGTCATTCTCTGAAGTTCTGCCTGTGCATAACACTCAGAACGACAGGCGGATGCGTATTAGGGACTTTAATTTGTGGCTTGGTGAATGGTGTCGGGAGCAAGGATTTGGCTTTATTTCTCATGGTAGCTCTGTTTGGAATGGAAATAAGCTGTACAAAAAAGATGGTTTGCATCTTTCTCAAAAGGGAACAAATGTTCTCAGTGAGCAGTTCAGAGGTTTTGCTAGGATGTATTTAAACTAGGAGGGGGGGGCAAAAGGGTGTTAAAACATCAATCCAATTGTCCCCCAAAACAAGGACAGAAGGTGCCTGTAGCAAGTGTGTTAAAAAATGATAAGCTTAGAGTCATGTCTACAAATGCTCGCAGTTTAGGGAAAAAGATCCATGAACTTGTGGCAATAATGGCAACTGATAGTGTAGATTTAGTCGCTGTTACTGAGACATGGTATAATGAGAAAAATGACTGGGACATAGCAATACCAGGGTACTCTTTATATAGAAAAGATAGGGAAGGCAAGAAAGGGGGAGGGGTGGCCCTGTATGTGAAGGATAGCATAAAATCTAGCCTAATAAAAGTTAGTGAGACAAACATAGAGTCCGTTTGGGTTACGTTAGAATTTGGTAATCACACAGTAACTCGTGTAGGTGTGATTTATAGGCCCCCAGGACAAATTGAAGAGTTAGATAATCTACTAGTTGAGGAAATAGCTAAAATGACAATGAAGGGGGAAGTTATCATCATGGGTGACTTTAATCTTCCTGATGTAAATTGGAAAACAAAATTAGCTACTTGTGCCAGGAGCACACATATTCTAAACTCACTACTGGGATTGTCTCTAAAACAAGTTGTTGAAGAGCCAACTCGTAAAGAGGCCATACTAGATTTAGTGTTAACAAATGGAGATTTGGTATCAGATATTACTGTAGGTGAAAGTTTAGGATCCAGTGATCATCAGTCAGTGCGGTTTAATATAAGAACAGTGACTGAGTCCCACCACACAAAAACAAAAGTTTTATACTTTAGAAAAACAGACTTTTCTGGGGGGCGGAGCTTGACAGCCGAGGCGAGCGGCCGCAATACTCTAGAGCTCCGAGGCACAAACGAAAAAACCCGACAAATACCCACACTAACTACACCTGAACCACGGCAGAAACCCCCGGCATACACCCTCACAAAATGGGACGCAAAACAAAAAAAACAAACCCGGGGAAAAACAACCCGGGACTCACCATAGGAGACATGTGGAGGCAGGCCCGAGGCGCAAACGAAGCCAACATGGCGGCACTCCACGGGGGATGCTCGGACTTCTCCGATGACCTCTCAGGGGAGGAATACTTACCAGTCCACGCGACGGGAAAGCCCTCACCACCGACCAACACCACACCAGACTCCACACCGGTGACAGTGGCGATAATTAAGCAATTATTAGCCGATCACCATGATGAAATCCACAAGGACATCACTGCTCTGAGGGGAGATCTAAAAGGGGTGACCACCCGCCTAAATGCAATGGAGAACCGTACCGAAACAAATACTGGGGACATTGAAGAACTCAAACGTACTGTGAAGGATCTGCAGATACAACAACGTTCCCACGAATACCGCATGGCCGAGCATGAAGACGCCAGACGGCGTAACAATCTGAAAATTAGGGGACTCCCGGAGGAAATAGCAGATGTAGAACTACCACAGGTCATCAAACGCCTGCTCGCGACAATACTACCACCCGCACAGGCAGATCACATACATCCTGACCACCTTTTCAGGATCCCCAAATCCCCAAAGGCACCTGCTGGAACCACCAGGGACGCCATAGTTGCTTTCCAGAACAGCAGGGACAAAACGGCAGTACTGGACGCCCTGCGGGGCAGGACACCCCTACAATTTGATAACAGGGCATTGAGCTTCTATGCCGACCTCTCCAACAGCACTTTGGCATGGAGACGAACCCTCCAGCCACTTACCATACTTCTCCGCCAAAAGGGCCTCAAATACCGCTGGCGACCATCCCACACCCTGACAGTCCAGCAGGGTACAGACTCTCATCAGGTACGGGACTTGTGCGATGCGACACCGCTCCTCCAATCATTGGGCCTCCCTATGGACTTCCTCAACCCCAAAGGCCAGAAGAGCCAGAACCCAGTATCTCCGCAGCACAGATGGGACCCGACCAGCATTGTCCCGTTCGTACCACAAGGCCTCACACCCGACCCATATGTTGCCGTTACCTCCTGAACTGAGACGGGCAGTCGCATGGGACACCTGACAAGACGACACGAACAGGGGCACTACACATGCTGCGAATCGCTCCCCAAGTGTCACCCAGACGCGTTCTGGACAGTCAAAACAAAACCTAATCAAGACTGTCCGAACTGTGTTTGCCGCCTACAAATGTTGATAAAATGCCTGATCACTAGTAACCCTGTTGCTACTTAGCTATTGCTGTTACCTACTCTTTGATCCCACCTTAATTTGACTACTTTAAATTTAATATGATTGACTTTACCTTACCGATGTCGACCTCTAATGTGATATGCCATGTAGGACTTACTAACATACACCTGACTAGACAGACTCGACCTCAGCGGCCCAAATCTCATCATACTCCAGGCACTCACATTGACCGCTCCTCTCACACACAATCACTAACTACAAGACTACACTGCACTGGTGCACACTCATATACCCGACTACGACCACAGGCTAAATAATACACGTTGACACCTTGTGCCTTTATAAATCCCACCTTAGCAATATCAGATCACCTGCCAGGCCACCCAGTGGAACCTCATTTCATGTAGATAGGGAAGCAGGGACATGTCCTGTTTGCCTCTACAATCTAAGCATTAGCTGTTGACTCCACCTGGTCTAAAATGTGTTCTAGGGATCCTATAAATACAGACAACGTGTGACTAATCTCTAACAGTTACATGTCTTATATTTTGCAATGTGCTAGCCGTTAAGCGACTATTGCCTGCTCCTCCTATTATTCGCACAGATAGATCAAACATACTTAAAACTGTGTTGCTAATCTCTAACAGTTTCATGTCTTATATTTTGCAATGTATTAACCGTTAAGCAACTATTACCTGCTCCTCCTATTGTTAGCACAGATAGACCAAACATGTTTCTATGCCGTATGCATATCACTTCTGTTTTATATTACATAAAAATGTGCAGACATATTACTTGCCATGTTTGAAAATGTATGATTTTGCGTGTAACTGCTGTTGTGGCAACACACGCTCGTTGTTAGAACATGCACAACAAAAATAAAGAATTAAAAAAAAAAAAAAAAAAGAAAACAGACTTTTCTAAAATTAGAATATGTGTAGAGGAGTCATTATCAGACTGGAGCAATTTAAATGGAGTCCAAGAGAAATGGGATTATTTAAAAGTTGCTCTATTGAAGGCAACAGAAAATTGCATTAGGCTTGTCAGTAAAAGCAAAAAATTCAAGAAACCACTGTGGTACTCCGCAGATGTGGCCAAAATAGTTAAAAACAGAAAGTTAGCATTTAGGAATTATAAAAAAAAACAGAGT